GCCCTGCAGCTGGACGTGTGTGTCCGTGTCCGTGAGAGCTGGCCACATGCACACTGTGGCACCCCGCGTCCACTTCGAGGCAGAGTGTCAGTGAGGAAAAGACGATTAAAGAACAGCCGGGAAGAAAGACTTTGCCTGGGGTTCCAGGGCCTGCAAGAGAAAATCTGGTCTCTACCTGGCATTTTCAGTCTCTGGTCTGCGTGGGGACACTGCATGACGAGTCGGGGAGACCGAAGAGGGAGCAATGCCTTTGAAGACTATTGAATGGGCCTTTGACAGCCAAAGGAGAAAAATCTGTCTCAGAAGAAGCACAGCCAGAATGCTCCTTATGCAGAATGCCAGAAGGGCGAGACTTCGCGTCCCGTGCTCGGACACGTGGTCAGAGGGACTAGTTCCCTGAAACGGGCATCTTGGACCGTGCTGGGTAGAGCGGAGATCAGTGAAAAGGAAGGCCCTCCGTGAGATGGATTGACCTTTCAGCTGCAAGAGTGGACAACATGGACAATATACCAAAGGTGAGGATGGCCCAGGCCAGCCAGAGTGGCCAACATGGACAGAATACCAATCGTGGGATGGCCAGGACTAGGCCGGGCTTCCTTCTGTTGGGCAGAAGGTCACTATGAGTCACAACCAACTTGAAGACACCTATAGCGCCAACAACAGGGGAGAGGGGACATTTCCCCGTTTTGCTAAAGGGACTATGGGGGTAGCTTGACCCCCGGCCTCAAAGCAGCAGCTGCAAACAGCCTGGCCAGTGCTCACCTCCACGTTGTGGCCCTGGGACCATACCGAGCAGGCCACTGGGGCTCAACTCTTGCCCCAAGAAGTGGGGACCTAGACCTCGCTTCAGGCACGCATTCCCGCACAGGACAACCAGACCAGTGCTGCCTTCGAAGAACAAAGCTGTCCACCTGCTCTGGGTCTCAGGAAGCCCGGATCTGCGCTCTGAGACCAGCCCGTGGAAAACGGGGCAACCTGAGTTCTGATCTTTGACCATAGCCTTGGGGACGCTGACCAGCTCGATCTCCCTGTCACAGGGCGCCAAGGCCCTGTCAGCGCTGATCTTTCAGCTTTGAACTGACGGATCGGCTGCAGCCGGGGGAGAAGCAGGGACCGGGCCGGGCGTGGACTTGGTCTGTCCCACTGGAGGGCCCTGCCTTGCGAGGCCCAGAGAGTCTGGGGTGCTCGCGTAGAGAACCGAGCAGGCTTCATGTAGGAACTCGCTCGCCTTGAGGAAGTCACCCGGACAGTGCACTCAGCACATCTATTTATATCTCCTCTCACACAACCACACCCTCTCCCCCGGAGCCCAGACACTGAGCAGGGCTGGAGGGGCAGTCATGAAAGAGCACAAACCAGTGTGTGAACGTGCGCGCGCATGCTTGTGTACTGCTATACGTGTGCATGCTCACACATCTACACACAAGACCAGGCATACCACCGACACACACCGACAC